GCCACTTCCGGCTTTTTTCTTTTTGCTTATGTGGTGCTGAGGAATCAAACCCAGGGCCTCAGGCTTTCAAGGCAAGTGCTCTACCACTGAGCCACCTTCCCAGCCCCAAGTGGGTCTCTTTTTATCTAGAGAACCTCTGAAATACATACTATCCTCCCAGGAAAAAAAGGAACAGCAGTGACTGTCCCAGAGTTAGTTTGCTCCCAGTAGCCACTGTTCCTACCAGTGACACTGAGTTACTTTGCCACCTGAACCCTTTGGGATGATTATAATATAAAGAAAAAGGTTTCATTTCGGGCCAAGTTTCTTCTAAGTTCATCACATCACACCAGAACACAGTAAAATGGCACACCTTGGGAGCAGCCATCCGAAAGATCAACTTCTCAATGTGGCCTTTTCCAGAGCTCTGGTCAGGTGCAGATCTAGTCACAAGCATGAAGTCGTCCCTGCAGCCGCCGAAGGTAGTCACAGAAGAGTACGGGTAAGTGATGTGCACTTGCTGTGGAAAGAGACAGTGAGCTCTGGGGCAACTTCTGTCTTTTCTAAGCACAGGAGGCTTTAACCAAGATGGGAGAACCCTGAAGTTATAGTTTGGGGATACACATTGTAAATGTTGATACGCTGTGTCTGGTCTAGAAGACAGCCCTCATTGGAAATGAGAACTAGGGTCACCTTGCTCAGGCCTTTGAGTCTAGAGAGGAGAAAGCACAATATCGTTCAGGAGGAGGAAGGGTAAGATAGCCTTCATTCCTCCTTCCATACCATAGTATGGTGGTCCAGGATGCTAACACCATCCTCATTCACAGCAATCCACACCAGAGTGTTCTCCTTGGAAGACAGCTGGGCAGGCTGCAGAAATGGGCCAGAGAGATCAAAACAAAAGAATAACAACCAGGGTTGTAACAGCAATCTAAAAGCCCTCTTCTCTACCCAAATGACTGGCAGGGAGAGAGTAGACAGGTCCTCTTCCTGAAGCTTCTCCTAAACTCCCGGACCAAGTGGTGCTCTACTTGGTAAGCACTCCTGTACTTTTTCTTCATAGCACTTTTTTTTTTTTTAACAGTCCTGGGGCTTGAACTCTAGGCCTGGGCTTTGTCCCTCAGCTCTTCAGTTCAAGGCTAGCACTCTCTTACTTGAGCTACAGTGCCACTTCCAGCCTTTTCTGTTCATGTGGTGCTGAGGAATTCAACCCAGGGCCTCATGCATGCGAGGCAAGCACTCTACCACTAAGCCACCTTCCCAGCCCCTTCATAGCACTTGTGACTATTTAAAACATGCTTATTAGAGCTGGGGAATAGCTTAATGGAACACTATATGCTCAGCATACTCAAGGCTCCAGTTTGATCCCCAGCAACCCCCTAAAAAAAAAAAGACAAAAATAACACATGTATGGTTAGGATTAATGAGCACTTCCTTGATTCAATAGGAAGTTACATGCAGATGGGTACTGGGTCTGGTTTGTTCACTTCTTATAACCTCAAACTAGCAGTAGACATAGTAGGAGCTCAACTATTTGTTAGACGAATGAATGAATGTCCATTGCCTGATCTGCAGTTTCAGCAAACGAAACTATGACCCAGCTTAATGTCTATGATTATAATGTCTGGTCACAGGATAATCTCTGTGATTATATGTAAAGTTCATGCATACCCAACACCTGGTGAGGAAAAGTTCCAACTGAAATTACTATTGGCCTCCTGGCCTTCATGGAGAGATGAAATTAACTCTTGCCTGAGTAGTTTATGTGGCATGCTAAGTCAGCAGAAATGAATTTGTTTCAGTTATATATTGTTCTGTCTTTCAAAGTTTTTTTAAAAAAGCACTGTTGGAAGTGTATTATTTCAAGTCTGAATCCTCAAGTGTGAGTTAGCTGATCATCTCTTTTCAGGAATAGCACTAACAAGTCAATAAAAAGAAAACATGAAGATAATTAATGAATTACAACTCTGTTCTGGATCACAGAAATCTGGAGTAGGCCAGAAATGAGTGGAGAGATGGCGACCCCTGGTGGTTGGTAGTGTGCATGTGACCAGATGGAGAGGGAAAATTTAGGGCATTCTGAAGGCTCCTTCCACTGGCACTCACCTGAGCAGCAAAGAGCTTAGCACCAAAGAAAGGCCATTTCCGGGCCACAGTCAGGTAGATGCGGATGCACTCAGGAGAGGAGCAGCCTTGCAGTGCTGCCCACTTTGTGGTCAGCGTATCTGCCAGGTGCCTGGCCGGGCAGATGGAGAGAAATGATGCCAGTAAAGTGCCAACATGTTTCCATGACATCTCTGAGGCTTTCCCATGAAGATTCCACCCAGACCTTGCAGCCTACCTACCTCAGCTGTTCAGGGGGAGCCCCAAGTCTGTAGCGCCTTGGGTAGAACCTGTCTAGGACCTGGTGGAGGAGATGCTGAACCTTGGCAGGAGGTGTGCCCCCGGCACCTGGCAGGATAGGCTTCTCAAAGTCCCCATATTCTACCTGTGGTAGAAGCACATGAGAAGCCATGAGTCTGGGGTTTGATGGAACTGGTGGGTACAGTTGGGGAGGCGAACCAAACCATTATTTCCTTTAAAAAAAAACACAACAACACAAAACAAAAGACACTTGTGAGCACACTCTTTACCCCTAGTTTCTTTTTTCTTTTCTTTTTTGTCAATTATGGGGCCTGAACTCTGGGCCTAGGTGCTGCCCCTCAGCTTTTCAGCTCAAGGCTAGTGCTCTACCACTTGAACCACAGCACCACTTCTGGCCTTTTCTGTTTATGTGGTGCTGAGGAATCGAACCCAGGGCCTCATGCATGCAAGGCAAGCCCTCTACCACTGAGCCACCTTCCCAGCCCTTATCCCTAGTTTCATAGACATCAGAGAAAGAATCTTAGGGTCTTACAGTATTAGAAGGTTTAGACCAACTTCTATTTGCAGATGAAGACAAATCCTTATCTAAAGACAGTGTGGCAGATGAAGGACATCAGTGGAACTTCTAGCTTCCAATCCAAAAACAGAGGCTACAGGATGGAAGAGGCCACAGGTCCGAGGGAACAGCCTGGCATTTGTAGTCAGACACCTGGCTCAACCCCAGCTTTGCCATTTAGCAGCTTCTTTTCTGGTCAAGTCATTTAAATTCTGAGCTTCAGTTTTCCTCACCTAAGCTAGAGTGAAGGCTCCACGGGAAAAGATGTATGAAATACATCACACAGGGCCTACTAGAGAGTATTCATGCTAACGATTATAATTATGAAGTCCACAATTACTATTCTTCCTCTCCAGCAGGTAGATCCAGACTCTTACGGGAATCATGGAGGTATCCCAAATACCTCTGGCAAGATGGCCAAGGCAAGTTGAAGTCTGATTATGTATTCCTCCTAACTCTACTTAAAACGTTGGATGGGTCTTAAGTTTTATCACACAGGTTAAGGAATAAACGTTATCAAAGTATCCTTCTTATTACAACCTTGTGGAGGCAGGCAGGGAAGCAGTTTTCAGTACAAAGAAAACTAGGTACAGCATAGTGAAGTGAAGTAACTTGGTTAAGACCTCATGTTAGAAAAAAGAGAACTCAAACCCAGATCTGGATTCTCAGTCTGACATTGTGCACACAGCCTATATCTGCAGTGGGTGAGGAGTTCTGCAGTGTGAGGAAGCAGTTGCTCTCTGTATAACAGGGACGCCGTATAACAGTAAGGACACCCTCTCCTGAGGACAGAGGATATGAAGAACCTTCTGTTTCAGGCCAAGGGAGGAGTAGTTCTAACTGGAGTCCCACAAGGGCATCCTGACCCTCCCACTTCCTGCACAGACACAACCTTACCTGGGCCATCAGGGCAGCCATCTCTAGAGCCAGTTCCTTGTTCACTGGAAATCTCCCTGCTACAATCTCTCCGTTGGTTTGAGAAGCAAGCAGTAGCCTCTCTCTTTCTGTTTCCCCTTTGATTTGACTCCGAAAGTACAGCCTTTAGGAAGAGAGCAAGAATAAGCTGTCTCAGCTGGGATTCCAGACAGTGATAGGTTTTTGATGGATAGCTATCTTAATTTCTACAGAAACTAGTTTTTTACACCATTTGCAAACCTATTTTCTATCACCCTAGAAGCTTGTGACCAAGTGTGACACATAGCAGTTGCACATCATACGGATCTCATGTCCATAGCAGCACTTGTCTAAGCCAGGCGCCAGTGGCTCACGCCTGTAATCCTAGCTACTCAGGAGGCTGAGATCTGAGGATCACGGTTCAAAGCCAGCCTGAGCAGCAAAGTCTGTGAGACTCTTTATCTCCAATAAACCACTAGAAAGCCAGAAGTGGCACTGTGGCTCAAGCGATAGAGCGTTTGCCTTGAGGTGAAGAGCTAAGGGATAGCGCCCAACCCCAGAGTTCAAGCCCCACGACCGACCAAAAAAAAAAAGTGTGTGTCTAAGCTGGACACTGGTGGCTCATGCCTGTAATCCGAGCTACTCAGAAGGGTGAGATCTGAGGATCTTGGTTCAAAGCCAGCCCGGGCAAGAAACTCAATGAGACTTTAATCTCCAATAAACCACTCAGAAAACTGGAAGTGGCGCTGTGGCTCAAGTGGTAGAGTACTTGCCTTGAGCTGAAGAATTCCAGGTCAGCACCCAGGCCCAGAGTTCAAACCCCATGATGGACCAAAAAAAAAAAGTGTGTCTACTTGTATATTTCTAAAATGGGTGCATAAGAGGTATTTATTCCTTAGCCTTGCACACTCAAAAATCGTATTCTTATGATAACATGCAGCCCTCCAAGAGGCTTGTGTGTTTTCTTGGCAAGTGTCTATACACACTTGTACACACAGTGGATGCTAGGAGGCTAGCAGGAAGCCTAAATTGCCCAGTGTCTCAACAGAAGGTCAGGAGAGGTCAAGCAAGGCCAGCCAGGACCCCAGCTGATGACCTCTATTCAGAGTGGCATCGATGAGCCCCTCTGCCATTCAGATAGGGGGCAGTGAGATGGCACCCAGAGAAACCCTCATTTTTGCCCCACCCCTGAAGCACACTAGACCTGTTCTTGTACATCAGCTTCACCACGCGTGTCCCACCCTCAGACTTTCCAGGGTGTAGCTCCTTCAGGGCCTGTTCCCACTTAGAGATGGCATCGCAGATCTTGAAGAAGAAAAGGAGAAAGTAAGGAAAGCCTCTCAGGAGGGGAGTAAGGCAGAGGCAAGCTGGACTTGGATGGTGGTGATTGTGGTTCCTCCTATTGGAAGACTGCCTTGCAGGGCCTCACACACCTGGGACTCAAGATGACTACCACTCGCTCCCCCACAGATGGTAGGCAATGCCCTGAATGTAGTGAGCTGGAAAGCAGGGAATGCCCTGGGAGGAAGCGAAAAGGTAGCTGCCCTGGGGGACAGGAAGGCCCCAATGAAAATCTAAGGCCTCATATCACTGGTTCAATTCTACCAGCTACATTTCTCCTTTCAATACATATACCCAGAGGCCTACTGTGTAACAAAGCCTGACAGATGCCTAGACATTTACAAGACATACAGTACAGTTTTCCTAAACAATGGTGAAAGACTAGAAGCCTTTGTCTTGGTGCAGTAAAGAAAGCAGATACTGGAGCCTATGTGTCTATCAAATGGAGCCCACTCCCAGACACTTAACCCCTGTGGCACTAACCCAGACCGCAATATATGTCAGGGCCTTCACTTACATAGGTACTATGAGGGCCTACCTCCTTAAACCATGGGTGGACCTATAAGCAGAGCACAGGCCCTTGCGGATGGAGTGAAAAATGGAGTGCTGGCGCTCATAGCACCATGGGTTTAAGCTGTAGCTGTCCACCTATGAATGGGAAGATGAAACTGGTGGCAGGCTCAGTGGGGTCTCCCTGTCCCTATACTGAACTGAGAAGAAGCTCTATTGAATGCTGCAAAGTGCAAGGAAGCAGGGCTGGGGAGATCACATGCAGCTTTGCTCTGCTTGTGCATACATTTTAGGATGGCCTGGTAAGTATCCTGCCTGGGCTTAGTGCCAGTGCGGCTGCTGAACAGACAGGTACATGCCAGATGGGCTTTGCCCCTACCACCTATACCCCTGAGCCAGGAGACAGCCAAGCGGGGAGGCTGTCACCTTGACACTCCCCTGCAGGTAGTGTTCCAGGTCCCTGCCGGAAGGGTCGTCTGTGAAGAGGGCAAAGCCAGAGTGGGATGACTTCCTCATGCCTGTCTCCTGGTTGAGCCGCTGGAGGAACTCATCAACTGTAGAAGAGCCGTCAAAACCAACCACCTGGTGGGAAAGAGATGATCTGCCCTGGAGCAAGCTTCTTGGGGAACTCACTAGGGATCGGGGAGGGGTCTCAGTAGAGCAGGTAGGAAGATGCAAGGTGAATACAAACGAGAGAAAGACGACACTGGGCTTCCACACTGACAGCCAGGGCCAGTTCTAAGGAATCTGAGCCTGCCAACCGTTACTGGAACCAGACAGAGGCTTGTCAATCTTCTTGGGGCGCTGCCTTGTTCCACTTCCTTAGTGTTTCAAGCTCCCTTGTTCATGCACTGGGTTCAAAAGACTCACTTCCAAGGCAGCAAACAGCAAAACATTTTTAGGACTCACATTTCCTTCTCCCTACACAATTATACTACCTACTACCCCAATCCTAGGCTCATCCTTTTTGCTGATTTTCCTATTAAAATTCTGAAAGCTGGCCTAGTGTGGTGGTACATGCCTGTAATGTCAGCTACATGAGAGGCATAGGTCTGAGGGTAGGCCTGGGCAAAAAAGAAAAACAAAACAGCCAGGTGCTCATTACTGTAATCTTAGCTTCTCAGGGGGCTGAAATCTGAGAACTGAGGTTCAAAGCCAGCCAGGCAAGAAGTTGCGAGTCTTATTTCCAATTAACCACCAAAAAGCCAGAAATGGAGCTGGGGTTCAAGCGGTAGAGTATTAGCTTTGAGCAAAAAAAATCTCAAGGCCCTGAGTTCAAGCCCCAAGACCAGCAAAAAAATAAATAGAATCTAAGGTTGTATGCTAAAAATAAGCAAAAAGAGCTAGGGGTATGAACCTAAGTTCACACCTGTCTAGCAGGTGTGAGGCCCTGAGTTCAAGCCCCAGCACCACTAACATAATAACCAAACCTCCTGTAAGCAACTGTTACCTGACCAAAGGTGTTCTACTATGGACAATGACAAAAGACTTGGGCAGGGGACACTCCCTGCCTCCTTACTTGGTAAGTTCCGTTAGCAAAGTGCACAGGGATGCTGAAGGGCAACGAGTGGTGGAAGGGATTCCGCAGCAGGATGGACACCACCTCCATGCGTGATGGCCTGGCCTCCCGCTCCCCGGTCTGCAGCGTCCGCTCCACTGCCCGCTGGCAGTAGGTGGCATACTGGCCAGTTTCATTTCTAAGAAGACAGGAAGGAAGAAGGAAACCCCAGGGACTCTGCTCCTCCCC